ATAAGGGTTAATATGGTTTTTGCTTTGAACTTTTATGTCTGAAACTGTGGTTTTGGAAATGGAAGGGCAGAACAGTCTTGAACAGGTTACTCCCATTGTTCTCTAGAATTGCTGGCCTTCTGCTAATAAAGCCTGGTGGACCTATTCCCTATCTCTGCATACTGGCTTTACAGTGACAGGTGGCCAGACCCTTTGTCCAGTAACAGGTTCATTCTTTGCTTCTCACATAACAGTTAAGACATTAGCAAAAGAGAAGACAATAGTATCTAAATACATTATAGGGTTTCATATAATGAAATACTGATACATTCATGAAAACAAATGTGCTCACTTGGAAAGGTGCCATTATTTTATTGCCAAGTGAGTAAAAATAACTTGCAGAGCAATAAGTATGCACTGATCTCATTTTCCTTAAAAAACTTATCTTGGGATAGAAACAGCAAAATGCTCAGAAGCACATGCAACAGTTATGATTACGGGGCCTAATTCATCATTTCTTTAAATTCATGACTGCTAATTTATCTATTATAAAAACATTTGCCCTTGATTTAATTTAATACTTCCAAGTTGTCTTTTCTGTTGTTTAGATTTTCTTTTCTTTCTTTTTTTTTTTTTAAGAGACAGTCTCACTTTATCACGTTCTGTAGAGTGCCATGTCATCACAGCTCATAGCAACCTCTAGCTCCTGGGCTTAGGGGATTCTCTTGCCTCAGCCTTCCGAGTAGCTGGGACTACAGGTGCCCACCACAACACCTGGCTATTTTTTGTTGTTGCAGTTTGGCCGGGGCTGGATTCGAACCTGCCACCCTTGGTATATGGGAACTGTGCCCTACCCTCTGAGTCCCGGCACTGCCCTAGATTTTATTTTCTATTTTACATTTAAAGCTTCTATCCAGATGAAATTGTTATTGGTGTGAGGAGTAAAATAAATACTGAATTTCCCCCCAGCCCTCCAAGTAACTACTGGGGCGCCCTAGAAATATTTGAAAGTTATTTGAATTTCTCAGGAAAATAACATATAGGCAAAGTAGTGGAAACTTTTTTTTTGAGACAGCGTCTCATTTTTGTCGCCCTAGGTAGTGTTGTGACATCACAACTCACAGCAACCTGAAACTCTTGGGCTTAAGCCTCAGCCT